AAAGTCGGGTAGTGTGCAGCGTTGAAGTCACTGAGTTGCTACTAGATCCATGTAAAACTGCTGCGATCGTACATGTTTCGACAGATCCGGTCGCATGAACACATCGCTACATATACGTGTACTTCCAAATAGAAGTCTTGGCCTGGAGAATCATCTTCGTTAGCTGTTCACCTCTCTGACCAGCATTCGGAACTTGAAGTGGATTAGCGGACGAAGCGGATATTCGATGACTTCGGTCAGATAAACGTAGGGTCATTCATCAAATACGAACAGGGACTCGATTGTAAAAAGTAATAGTCATGCACAGTCCTCGCTATTAGCTACCTTTCTGTTCAGCAACTACGGTCTGCAAGCAGTGGCACAACATAATTTTTGTAAGTGATGGCAAGCATTGGTGACAATACCGAATCGATCGATCGCATATTTGCCATTCAACACCGACAGAATATGTGGAGCACCGAGATCGTTGCTGCGATAGATATTAAAGGTTAGTCGATGAATTTTCAAACTAATACGCCACGTCTTCACTATCGTACTAACTTCAAAATGGAAATTTGGTGGCGTGCTTACACTTGATACGTCTGTTCTTTCGATTCGACTGCTCGCGCAGTTGCTGCGCGGCGTATTCCAATGGGATAGAGGGGTCCCTAGCAACGATACGCTTGGTGACAGTCACCACTGACAGCAAGTCGTGCACCCTGCTCTGGATGTTGTAAATGTTGAAGCGCGCTTTACGTGCTTGCTGCTTGTCCTGCATGTCTGGATCATCATGGCGTCCATGTGTCGTGCATCCACCAAACTTCGCTTGTGGTGATACCCAAAGCCGTGAGTTGAAGCATTTTGTGTTCAATGACAGAGCAATACGCTCACAGCTAGCAAAATAATACGAACTGTCTACACTATAACATAATTCCATGCAGGAAAAGCTCGATATGTCATTATCCAATTCATCTAAAACAGCTTCCAAACGTGTCGTGGCCTTCACAGCAGAATCAGAATCGTACAGACAATCGACGTAACCAATCCACCCGACACTCCCAGATCGAGAATGAGGATGAATAAAAGCATCACCAGACCCAGAGTACGTCTTGTGTGGCATGATGCAATCACTTGGTATCCGTGAACTCCACCGGCGAGTACCAATTTGGTTCTTAGTAGGTAGTACAGTCATAAAGATTGAGGCAAACAGGGTATGGACACTCAACAAGTTCATTGCCAGTTGCAACACTCCGAGCCTGCATGGCCCGGAAGAAGCCAGCCACGATGGTGGACACACCCTTTCACCGGGGAGCGTACCAGTGAGCTTCAGGAGCGATGAAATCGGCACATATCCGAATACAGCACCGACAATATACAAGGAGGTCGCAGGAAGATAGCCACCAGCATTGCTTGTCACTTAAGCTTAGGGTCTTGTTGCCGTTTGTCAGCAACTTCCCGAGTTTTTGCGGACTAGTAAGCGTTCTCCGTACTCTGGTATTGCTCTTCTGAGAGTGAGAACCGTGGGTGTGGATGATGTGAACTGGAGAACCGTGGGTGTGGATGATGTGAACTGGAGAACCATTGGTTAGCACAGACCTGAGCTCCCTTTTAGCGCTATTCCCTCTTCCTTTGAATGTGGCTCAAGCAGTTGCATAGGGTCGAGTTGCATGTCTTGGTGATTCTGATTGAGAATAGGTAGACTGTCGAGATAGCAACCATCAAGTTGATGCTACCTACCGATAGTCCAGCGAGACAAATTTAATGTCCAAAGCATTGTGACACCATGGTCAACAAAGGACCGACTAAGCGCGAGAAGAATTCAGGCAATTGACTCGAGTTCAGTAGTCGCTCGATGGTCAAGATACAACCACTAACCGTGTGGACGATGCAAACACGGTCGATCCGCGGGTGGCTCGTCAAAGCGAGTCCATGTACATCCTGTTCAACTCTCAATTCAGTGCAGCGGTACCTCTGTGATCGCGCAATTCCAACTGGCACACTTTGTCTATTTAAAAAGCAAAACAACCAAGACACTCGGAATATATAATGCACTTCGTTATTGTGTTAACAGTAGATCTTTGGTTCGGTCTTCGTAGCTACGTAGTTACTTTCAGATCTGTAAAGGTTTGGATATTCCATTCGCCTGAAGAACGTAGCTGAAATCATGGGATCACGGAGGAGGGACAGTTGCCTAGCAAAGATGGCGACAAGTGAAGCTCGAAATCTTTGTCAAAGCGCGGATCTCCGGGCCGTTACAGACAAAATCCAACCAATACGGTCACCACAGCAGCATTGCAAGTAATAGCTATACTTGAGATTGGTATTAGTGGGAACGATAAGGTATTATCCTATTGTTTGTATCTGGTAGTCTAATACACAGTAAATATCTGCCGGAACCAGTCATTTTGATATAAGATAATAAATAGAGTCACAAGTACCGTGGTTTTCCAGTATTAATTTCCAGAGAGAACACAATAAAAGGAGAGGGCATGACGAGCCCTAACCTTAACAGCCTCCCTCGTCATCAGGAATCCTGATTATATTAGATAGACCCTCTTGAAACTGTTCAGTCAGTTTACAAAAATGACTAAACAAAAATCTGTTTTTCGATTTCTGATGCTTCCAGAGCAGCTATGAGCAATCTGAGGTCAGTTTTGAATTCTCCTCGTTTTCGGTCAGGTCCACCACTTCTGCCCTTCGAGCTTTATCTCAAGCGCCAATTAGTTTTAGGAGGTTCTTATGTTGAAGACGTTCTCATTTGGTATCAGATTAAGCTCGACAAGACTGTCGAAGACGCGTGTGGTATAGCATGCGACACAGTCGTCTTTCAGCGCGTCTGTAGGTGGTCTCATTCTCTCGTTTCTCGTCTCCTTGCCAACTCCTCCCGTCCACATTGCCAAGTCTCAGTAGTCTGTAGTCTGGCCTGTGCTATATTGATCCAGAGCTCTGTAATAATACGCCAGCCCCAGACAATATGCTTCGGTCGGCTCAGGTTATGCCAATGACTGGTGGCAGCATCGCGGCAGCATTAGACAAGCAGTTACCAGCACTAGAAATGCTCGTGAGATCTGCTCAGCCTACGGTCTCGCCGGTGGAGAAACCCGCGTGCATCGACTCATCTTCAGAGCACGTCATTCAATTGCAGCAACTAGAAGACACGCAACCAGATCAACAGCCTCTACAGACTCACGTGAAACCAAGGAGGAGCTCTCACGTTCGCAGATTAACTAAGATCAATACACCGGCTTTTTCAGCAAGATCGAGTCGACCATCACGTCGCAATAAAATTTGTAAAGCTCTCCAATCTGCACCGACATGGAGAGTGGCATACATCAAGGATAGGGTCACTACAGCTAGAGACGAGATACTCTATCAAGTACTGTGGCGGACATAAAAGTACGGTCGTCTACCCCGACGTGGCAGCCGCACAAGATGCTGTCAGAGGACGGTTTTGGAGATATGCTGGTCATTGTGGACGAATGGGTTGACGCCGGGAGAAAGGAATACTTCTTTCAATTTGTATCGCAGAAGTACGCATCTGTGGCAGGTGCAAATCCCACTGGAACATGTATGTTCCTCGCACTCCAGCAAGCGCTGATATTGGTCGGTGATGTCGAAGGTGTAAAACATGCACATATTCAAAAGTTCCTCGAGCGCTCTGAGGAGCTTCACCAGGACCTGTCCCGTGGGTTACCTTGGCGAATTTTTCGGGCGTTTATTTCTCAAGTACATTTAAATTGTTTTAGACTATCCTTGGTGGATATTGATGATAACAAGCACCGAACGGGGCATCGTGATATTGCGGCCTTAGAGAGACTAAACCTGGAGGACGGCTTCTACTTCATTGCTGAGAGTAACACCATGGCTGTTGGACACGTATTTGTCCTTCAAGTTGCGGCGGCTAGGATGACGGTCTATGACGACAACATTAAGCGTTCACTCAGGTCCTACGGCAAATGGATTGATAGATTGATGTTTGTCCGTAAGGTAGTCCTTGAGAAGTAAATAAATATAAGTTCGTATTTTATGTTAACTTGTACAAAATCCGATAATACATTGTTTCTTTGTCTTTTCACACATTTTACATGGTTATTTCTTGTTTGTCCATAAAAAAATACAAGGTCGTATTTTACTTTTACAAAATTGATAATACATTGCTTCTTTGGCTTTTCACTCATTTTCACATTGGTATTTCTTGCTTATTCGGTGGCTGTGTACCAGAGAAATCTCAGTGAGGATAAAACCTGTAGGATGCAGTGAGAAAACCTTTTTATGGAGAAAAAAAAACTCACACTATCATTGTGACTTATTACATAATGTGAAGTGGTGTATCTAATTGAATTTTATATATGTACTTATCTATTAGCTAGTGTATCTATTGATTGCATTCCTAGTTAGTTCCTTAAAATTCGGAACTGGTGGTTGTCAAGTGCCTTTGTAAAAATATCTGCTACCATTGACTTGGTGTTGCAGTAAACAACGCTAAATTGGTGTCTCTCCACTTTTTCTTGAACGAAGTGATATCGGATGTCAATGTGTTGTGATCTTCCGTGTAGTTCTGGGTTGCTAGAGAGTTTGATGCAGCTCTGATTGTCTTCCATAATAACAGTTGCTTTCGCTGTCGAGAATTTGAGTAGCAATTTAAGAAATATTTCTTCTTGCATGCAGTGACATAGTGTAATGTACTCAGCTTCTGTAGTCGAGAGCACGACAGTGTGGTGTTTTCTCGGAAGCCATGAGATTGGGCTTGACTCAACCATTGTTACATATCCGTCAACTGACCTTCTGGTTTCGGGGCAACTCGCGTAATCCGAGTCTGTGTAAGCAATCAGGTGATCAGCTAAATTACTGGAATCAATCGACGTTGACCCACCAAGTAGTGAGCCTTGGTCGGTTGTTCCTGACAGATATTTTAGACCTCTTATCACTGCTTTCCAGTGTTCCTTTCCAGGATTTGTTAGAAACTGGCTTACTTCGCGCATGTAAAAAAGCTAGATCAGGGCGAGTACCAACCATGCGGTACATTAGGCTGCCTACAACTTCTCTATATGAAATATCTTTCATAGCCTCCCTTTCTTCTTGGGTCTGCGGTTCCATGGCCTTTGTAAGCTTGATGCTACGGTCTGATGGCGTACCCAACGGGTACGCCATCAGATGTTTGAATTTGTCGAGAACATTTGTGGCATACTATTGCTGGTGGATAAAAATCGTTCGGTTTGCACGGTTTCTCTCAATGGACCAACCGAGAATGTACTTCACCTCCCCTAAGTCTGTCATTGAAAGCCTCTGTTTCAGGGCCGATTTAATACGAGGCTCACTGTTGGTGCTATGATGAACAGATAGTACACGTAGACAGCAATGTAGCATACTTGCTCATCAAATGTTGCCATAAAGACGCACCTGTCCTTGATGAGTTTGTGAAACCCAAGGCTCTCCAGGAACCCGCATAGCATCTGATACCAAATGCGAGGTGCTTGTTCAAGATCATAAAGACTCTTTAAGAGCTTGCATACAAGACGTTCTTGGCCCGGGACGGCGAAACCTTCAGGCTGGGCCATGTATATTTCCTCAGTAAGGAAACCATTAAGGAACACTATTTTAACATCCATTTGATGGATTTCGTAGTTGAGCAATGCTGCAATAGCCAGGAGAAGGCGAAGTACCTCCATCCTGATAACAGGAGAAAACATCTCAGTGTAATCAACGCCACACTGCTGTAAAAAAGCCTTTGATAACAAGGCGTACTTTGAACCGGTCAATTTCACCCGTGCCAGTGTATTTGACAACGAAAACCCACCGGCTTTGTAGAATCCGGCGGCCGTGTGGCAGAAGCCACGTCTCATTTGTAATGAGTGACGTGTATTCGGATTCTGCAGCTGTTCGCCATTGCCTGGCGTAACATGATTTCATGTCTCCTTTGTAGAACTTGGGTTCACGCACATACCGTATATCTAGAAGGCTAAGAATTAGATTTGTACGCTCGTTAGTTTCATGAATATCCTCAGTTGATGTCAGCTATTTAAAGTGATTGGCTTCCTCGATTCGAGGTCGTTTAGTAGAGCGTTCCGGAGGATGTGTGGGCGTCTCCGCTACAAATGAATAAGTCAGGACGCCACGCTCAAGTGCGTCATTCAGTGATGGAAGCGGGTTCGGCGTCGCTGTAGGTTCTATAGAGTGTGTGGCGTGTGGTCGGACCAGTGGTGATTGGGTTGTTGCTAGTGTAAAAACGGTATAACTACCAGACGTAACAGTGACAGCTGTTGCAGATAACTGAACTGGCAGCGGCAACGGATCGGCTGTAGAATCAACGTTAGCAAGGACTGGAAAACTATCTTCCCGAAAAACGACATCCCGGCTGTAAACGATTGCATGGGTTTGACCGTCCAGACGGTATCCTTTCTTGTGCCCAGGATTGCCGAGATAGATACATAGTTTCGCTCGTGCGTCTAGCTTATCCCTGTAAATCACATTGATCTGGACATATGCTGCACACCCAAAAACTTTAAGGTACTGCACGCTAGGTTTGCGGTTGTACCAAAGCTCATAAGGAGTTCGGCTGTATGTGGTCTCACTTGGTATCATGTTGAGCAGTGTCGTAACATGACTAACACATTCAGCCCATAATAATTTGGATAATTTTGCATCAATGAGAAGGGCACGGACGCGTTCTAGAATTGTACGCGGCCGACGTTCAGCGACACCATTTTGCTGTGGCGTATATGCATTGGAGAACTGTGCATGTGTCCCGTACCGTTTACATATGATCCGACCAAGTTTCTCATACTCTTTTGCATTATCAGCCTGAAAAACCTGAACATCCAGTTCTGAGATGTGTCCCGGATATTCGAGGGTTTGCACATCCGAACGGAATATGTTTAAGGCTTTCATCCTGAAGTCTTCATAGCAGGAGTAGAGTTGGCTTCGAGTCTTTATAGGGTACGCAAACATATAGCGCGTAAAATCATCGATAAAGACAACAAAGTAGCGACAACCGCTAAGACTAGGAACGGGCAGCGGCCCACAAATGTCAGAATGATTTTTTTTGTAAAGGCATCGTGGCACGTTTAACCTGTCTATTGGAAGGATATGCAGCGCGGTGTGACTTCGCACAAGTGCATGCAGAGCAAAGAAACTGTCTTTGGGAACTATGGTGTTAACGTCAAGTCCTTGGAGCGCTTGATCCTTAGTCAGAGCCTGTAACACTCGAACATTAGGATGACCAAGTCTTTTGTGCAACAACATTATAGCAGTGGTCTTACCTGAAGTGGCCACATGGGCTTCTTGCTGCTGGACTGGCGTGGCCGTAAACTGGTACAGCTTTGCAGTAGTGGATTTCGTCGCCTTGATATTAAAGCGCTGGTCTGTTTGCACAGTGCACACAGTGCGCTTGAATGTGAAACGGAAATCGTATTCCACAGCAGCAGCGACTGAGAGGAGGTTGTAGTGAAGTCGCGGAGCAAACAGAACATCACGTAGGGTAAGCTGACGCTTCACTCCCTTGGAGTTAGTCACTTGCAGTACGACGTCACCAGTGCCTTCAATGGGGATCTCGGACTTCCCGCCGACCGTGATTGTCCCCGTGGCAGGTGTCTTTGAAATGAACCACTCGGCATGCTGTGTGACGAGGCTTGTACAGCCGAAGTCGACCGTCCAGCTGGAGTCGAAGGTGGAGGTTGCGTAAGCCGTAAAACTGATGGCAGGTGGTAGAGGTTTGGTCATGGTAACCACGGCGATGCGTGCCTCCTCGCGACGAGATTGGCTATACCCGCCTTCGTCACGACGAAATTGTTGACGTCCCTTGTTGTTGTTTTCGCGGGTGTTGCCACCACGACCACCGCTGTTCTGACTTCGACCGCCTTTCTGCCATGATCCACCCCGCGACTGGCAGTGTTATTACGTCGGCCGTATGGGTGGGATCCCCACCACGAAACTCGAAGTTTGCAGACCATACAGTTCCCGCCTTGACAGTACCATCCCGTACGTCCTTCTGCAATCATCGGCAATGGCGGATGTGATGACGAGGCTTCTGGTAGCCGCACACTTCGTCATACGACACAGTGCTGGGCGTGGTCGGCACAGGAACAATCAGTACACGCTCCGCTTTGGTGCTGCTGCTCTCAGGCGTGCCTTTTGCGAGGGAGTACCGTGTCTCCGTTTCCATTTTGCGGACCTTATCCTCAATACTCATTTTGAGCTCGTCGTACGGGATATACTTCCAGTTACTTTTCCAAATGCGCAAGTCATCCTTCCAAGACGCCGGCATGGAGTGGAACAGGTAGAGAGACTTCTGGCCGTCGGTGAGAAAGGATTCAGTCGCCTTGGACGCGGCTCGCATCGCGTCTTCGAAAACGAGGAAGAACTCGTTAACGTCACTCCCTTCCCCGTACTTGGTTTCCATGAGGAAGTGCAGGATAAAGTATGGGTCATCGTGGAAACCAGCACCCTCGTACTTCTTGCAGATGGCTTGGAATATATTGTATGCTGTGTTCAGATGCTTGACCAGGCGGTTGTGGGTGTCGTCCATCGTCTTCATTTAAAAGGCCTTGGTCTGTGCTTCCATGCGGCGTCGATGCCGGGATGAGAGTGGCACCGGCTGCTCCTTCTCGACTCGGCGCTGCGATTTGCGCTGCGTGAACGAGCAGATCGGTGATGGTTGCTTGGACGTCGTGCTCTTCTTGGCGTCTTCATCGCTGTCGGACTCGCCGTCAGAGCTTGGATCGTAGTCTACGGCTTGGGAATCGTAATCGGCTGGTGTAGATACCTTGGGAGGGTCTTCATCGTCGGACAAATCACTGCTGTTGGACGTTTCTTCGTCTATTTCGTCATCGCTCATTCCGTTGTAGGCCTTCTTCGTGACGAAACCAAGGTGGTGCTTGCCGTCAAACGAAGCCGTCACTCTGGCCTTCCAGACGTTGAAATTCTTGGGGCCGGTAAGCCGAGGGAAGTCGTCACTTGAGGCTTGCCTGGGACTCATGACCTGTTGGGAGGTACTCTTGCACTTGAAG